TGCCCTTTTTACCCCGTCGGTACTTGGCTAGGTCGCCCTTTAGGGAGGCCGGTGGCGAAGGGCTGGCAGAGGCCTGCCACACCTGTGTGGGCTGAATAGACTCGAAGGTCACCACTGTGGAGCAGGATCGTCTAGAGGAGGCACTTCTCGCACGTGATGCCATTTCCTCTTCGGGCGCCCGGCTACAGCTAGCAGCAGTGAGTAGGGTAGCCTTTTTGTGAGATTTTTTGTGTTTCACGCGACAGGCGGCCCCACCACCGCTTGAGGCGGCGGAGGAGGAGGAGGGACACTTGTCCGCGCCGGCGTCGGTGTTGGCCGTCTTCACGGTGGAGTCTGCCTCCTTCGTGGCACCCTCAGCCGCCTCGACGAGGACCTTGGGTTTGGCCTTGGATTTCCTTGTCAGTGCATTCAACATGACCTGCGTGGCAGGTATTGCAGCGGATGAGTAGCTGCTGAAGTAGAAGGGCATCAGACAAAGTAGATTAAAAAGTATTCTAGCAAGGGACAAAGAATAAAGTACTCTGTTATCGGCCAGGGAGTGCAATTCATTAATTACACATCAGTGACATGTGACGTGTCCGTTGAACAAGACTTTAAGTCACTTAGATGGTGGGGATATGCTCTGTGTCCTACGGAAATAGTAACTGTGTCCCACCTTCATGGCAGTTAAGAAAGTAGATGTCGCAGTGCTCGGGTTAACTTACTCCTACCGTTTCACCCTCCACAACTTGAAGGGGTGATTAAGTACCAAAAAGGGTCATCTTCACCGAAGGCCATTGTGGCCACGCAGTACACCCCAAAGCTCTTGAAAGATCTCCGGATCGATAATATTAGACAATCGCAAAGATCGAAAGTCTTCCAGATTGGTGATGAATAGTGCGTCTGGGGCTCAAAAAAGCTGTCGATGAGAAAGAAACTGCCAGTTTCAGAAAGCAGTTGAGCAGAACGAGAGGGAGACGTGATCGTCGGAGCACAACTGTCATTCGCCCGACATTTCAGATTCAAGCCTTCATCTGCCGCAGCCTCGGATGTTAAGTTAAACTAATGAAATTGAAATTCCGGAGGTAAATTCACCTTCTTCTCTATCCTTTGTATTCTTAACGTCACTCCTGATACAGTAAATGAGCTATCTCAAGAAATATCTACTGAAATTCTAAAATGCGGTTTTAATTCGGAAACAGCACTTAAGTGGTCTTGTCACACTAACCACCTTGTCACATTATGCCAAAATATTTCAGTTACGACAGGATTCCGGCTTTCGAACGAGCTTCCTATCGATCACCTTAGTAATCCATGTTTCGTAAAAAGTGACTACTTAAGTAGCATAAATTTTATCCATTGACTTTTGATGCCGTTGTAAATTCAAATATATTTTATAGAAAACATGCACAAAAATATCCTTTCGTGTACTAATTTGGTAGAAAATGAAGTCTTCGAGTCTTATATTTGAGGAAAGAGTATGTTTCAGTTTTAAAAAGTTTTCTATTTTAAGATTTTTCAAGACTTGAAATAGTAGAAAATTAGGTCTTCAAGTTTTATATTTGAAGAAAAAGCATTTTCGACTGTAAAAGTTTCTTTATAAGATTTATAAGATTTTGTTATAAGATTTTTCAAGACATGAAGTGTCTTATAGTACAGCATCGCATCAGCATATTTATTAATGATGTTTATAAAGTGGAAGTCGTGTTCTATCTACATTCCAAACTTTTATGAACCCTACATGTCCTCTTTATAAGCGAATATTAAAATGCTTGATTTTCCTTGCACAGCAAGCATTCAACTTGTAGCTCTAAAACCCTGAATGCAAATATGATGGCAGGCCGTATTCCAAATTATACAGGAATTAGAAAAGTTTTTATAAAAGAGAAAGATATTCTTTTTTCGAGCATAAAATTTGAAGGAAACGTAATTTACTACCAATTGAGTGAAAGAGAAAGTATTTTTGTAATCGTTTTCTATGAAAAATATGTGAATTTATAAGAGCAGAGAAAATTGACGGGAAATTTCATATTATTCATGAAATCATTTTTTGCGAAACTTGGTTTAAACAGGCGGTTGATAAGGAGCTCCTTCGAAAACCAAGCCTCCTGAAGTGATTGAAATGTTTTAACATTATACGACATGATTACTGGTATTGCAACCTCACTTAAGTACTCTTTTCGAATTGAAAACACATTCCAGAATTTCAGTCGGCATTTCAGGAGATAGCGCATCGATGGACGCCGTCTGGGCGGCTAACCGATGGTTTAATTGGGGAGTGTTTGACTGAGAGTTACAACAACTAAGACGAATGAATCTGAACTGACCATTCCAATCCCCCCTCTGACGTTTTGTCGGTGACTTTCTCCATTATAGAGCACTAGTTGGGATTTCTACTTGCTCTTTCAAATAAAGAAAAGTGCAAAGATGAGGGAGTAACATGCAAGAATGGCGAGGTGAAGCTCAGCTTAACGGAATACAAATCATAAGGCAAGCTGACTTCAATCTGAGAATCCCTAATAATCCTTCCCTTGAAGGCCCAACTGTTTCAGCACTATCTGTTTATTCAGCGAATTTTCGACTTGCATGTAAAATAAACTGCTAGTCTAAGAAAGAATAGCAGCATTTTCCTGAAGAACACTTCACAATGACAAAGAACAAAAAGTTGGCAGCCTTCATGGCTATGGCAGACTGGGACGAACGGCGAACGCTCAAATCGGATACTCTAAGCATTAAGCCATGACTGTTACATTTGTGGGTTGATTCTATTCCCCTCGATCTCACCTCACAGTAAATGCTGCCACAAAAAACACCAAACTCTGCCTAGTGCCTCTGGAGAATCGGGTGTCTCCTCCAAGCGTTTAGTATTTGAACCAAGGAAGTATTACAACTTAAAAAATTCGCACGCGGGGAACTCTTCAAAGTATTTAGTGAAATTTAATTTGCTCGAATATTGAAAAGCTGAATTAATGTGCCATCTTTTTACCCCAATGGAGAAACATAGAAGTATCTTTCGAAAAAAACTAAACATACAGACGTTTTGGCGTTTTACGAGCATGTAAAGATTTGTTGACATCTCAAAAAATATGGGGATGTGTTTTTAGAAGAGCAGCTACCTTATGAAACTAAATCTGAAAATAAACAACTAAAAACTAAAGGCTAAAGAAAGGTTAGCATGAAGTTTTCTCATCGGTTTTCGATGCCCCTAAATGTCCAATTATATATAATAAAAAACCTGCATAAGCATATTTATTCATTTGATCATTCGGTAGGAAACGACGTCTTCTTCCTGTTTTATACTTAACGCATGGGTATAATTCCGTTTTCAAAAAGTTTCCAATTCCCGAATAGTTATGAACCCGGCCTGCCGTTACATTTTCATTCAGGGTTTCGAAACTGCAAGTCGTATATTTTCCGCGTACGGAAAACCAGTCATTTCTCTACGGTATCAAGAGAAGACTATATGGGGTTTATAAAATTTAGCAGTGGATTTGAACAATATTATTAACTTCATAAGCTACATCGGTAAATTCAGGGAAATGACGTTTTATGAACGGCAGACTGTGCGTCTCTTCCAGGCTTTTAGTATTTGAACCAAGAAAGTATTACAACTTGAAAAAAGGTCGCACTCAAATGAGGTCAATTCTGCATGCTTATGAAGATTTCAGTGCGATTGATACAATTTTTGGTATCTGAAGACAGATAAACAAACCGATGACAGTTCAACCGTCGATTCCGACGATGCCTACAGTGTCCTACACAGCAAGGTGCAGCAAGCGCAGTGACTTGCGTGTGAATTAGTTTTTTTAGTGATAGTAGGCTTGCACAGCACTATCCGCACTCTCTCTTCCTCCCCACCTAGACCAGGTATCAAGACAGAGTCAAGAAAACCGGAGACAGGGAAGGGCGCAAGAATAAACAAACCAGACAGATGATGTCGCACACTTATTTCAAACTCTTTTAAATCAGAGTCTCTCACACTCAACCCCAGGTCTAGGCGATTTGGGATTCGAACCCAGACTCGGGTGTACCAGCCAGAAATGAAGCCCAAAGGGATTTTTCTCGCGCAAACACATGTTCTTGTTTTTTTGCTAAAGAAAAACAAAATTCGTTAGGCGAATAACGCCATTTTCTCACAGGAAGACTACTTCCTGGGTTAATAACAACCGTAGACCAGGCAAATTTGTCTGCCCACACTCCTGTTTAGAGAAAATTAGGCCACACGATTATTCCTTATATAAACGCTCTTCGCGGACTCGAAAACTGATTTGCACGTACGCTTAAATCAAGTGAGACACGATGTTCAGTAGTCACCTCCTTTTTAAGTTAGTCGAAGAACACTCAATATTAGAAATGGTTTTTTTCTAAATTGTGAATTCGACCACCCTAAAACTGGTTAATAACTCGGAAAGAGTAGTTTTTATTTTACCGTCTTGCCACATTCTTCACACGAACGTATGAACCGGAAGCAGTTGTGAAATCGTGTGTGAAAACTACGCAGGGCTGAATAAAAGACACTTTATAAATGCGTTTTCAAACAGCTTTTTTACAGTCCATGTGCGACTTAGAAATTGCTGGAGCGCCAAGGGAATTGTTGGAGAGGCGCGTTGATATCTGTATGGTCACCCTACCGCATACTCAGTGCAATTAAACAAAGATGACAATCAGAGTTCTTACAGCAGATGTACTAACTCAGGAACTGTTAGCCAAAATTATAAAACGCCTTTTCGACTCGAAAAAATGACTAAAGGAGGGTTGTAATATTAAGCACTGCGCAGTACACCCCAAGATAATTCGGTTACCTCAGGATACCAGCTTCTGAACGAACTAAATTACAGATGCCTGAAAAAACTGCACTCTGTAAACAATGACGACTCATGTAGTATAAATTTTTCTCATTGATTTTCGATGCTCCTATAGATTTAACCATATTTCGTGGAGAACGTGCATAAAACTATGCATTCTTTTGCTCATTCTTTAGAACATTACGTGTCTTTCAAATTTTACACTTAAAAAATGGTTTGATTCGATTTTAAAGAACTCTTCAAATTCCCGAGTATTTTCGGACCCGACCTGCTGTTACATTTGCATTCATGATGTTTATTTACCGTGTATGAAAATTCATGCATTTCTTCACATTATTAAGAGAAGACCATACAATTTGACAGTGGATTTCAGCCGTATTGTAAACATTACAGGCAACATTATAAAATTCAGAGACAAGATGTTTTATGAGTGGGCATTTCAAGGTCTTGAAAAATCTCATAATTGGAAGCATAAGGCATAAAGAATACGTAATGTTCCGCCAAACGAGCAAAAGAATGCATGGGTTTATGCATGTTTTCCATGAAATACATTCGGATTCATAAGCGTATAGAAAGACAATAAGAGAAATTCATTCTACATAAATAATAATTATTACAGAATGCGGTTTTTACAGGTTCCTTCAAAAGTTGGCATAGTAAGGTAACGAAAATATCTTGGGAGTAT